CTACAAGACAATACCAAGGAGAATAAAAACAGAACACCACTGGTGGTCACCTACAACTCCCAACTCAAGCCAGTTCAACACATTATTAATGACCTACAACCCATGCTGGACAGTGATACTTCCCTTACACAGGCACTGGGGGTGGCGGCAACCTTTTCTTGTTTACAGACAGCCTGCTAACCAAAAACAACCTCTCACCTGCAATGACAAACTACTTGACAGTAACATAGTCTCTGGTACCAAGGCCTGCAACAAACCAAGACACCAACTTTGCTCTTATGTAGATCCTAGCAACACCATCAGTGGACCCAACAACATCAGCCATACCATCTCAGGTTCATATTCCTGCTCATCCTCTAATGTGAATTATGCCATCACATGTCAAAAATACCCTTTCACCCTGTACATCGGACAAACAGTCCCTTCAACAAGGAATTAATGGACAAAAGTCTGACATTAGGAATCACAACATTCAGAAACCAGTGGGGGGACATTTTAACCTTCCAGGACATTCAGTTGCTGACCTAAAAGTAGCAGTTCTCTTACAAAGGAATTTCAAAGGGAAATTAGAGAGATTGCTGAATTGCAACTGATAATGAAGCTCAAGACAATGCATCCACCTGGATTGAATTGAGACCTAGGTTTCCTGTCTCATTACCAATGCTGATTTCTTCACGCCTATTACCCCTCTGCATATCTCACCTAAATCCAATTAGACCTGCTATTGTCATTTGCCTGCTAGTGTTATTTGGCATCTGAAATCACTCCACTTTCTAATAAATAGGACAGATGGACTCCAATTCTAGCTGTATCTGAAGAAGTGAGCCATGACTCATGAAAGCTCATGCCCTGCCACATATTTTGTTAGTCTTTAAGGTACTACTGGATTCTTGCTGTTTTCTACTACTAATTTCCCAGTAAATACAAAAATGAAATTCTTTCAGATTACTTTATGATTCAGAAAGGCAAAGTCCAGGAAGTTACTCAGGGAAATTACGCACAGAGAATGACAGCCATTTACTAGCAATGTCAACCAGAAACAGAAAGGAAAATCCCCATTATCACGCACTTCCCTTTCAACAGGTATTGCCAATTATTACCTAGGTACAAGTCTGCAGTGAAGAAATAAGAGTTGTAACAGGGTGATATTTGGTATATTGAGACTTCAGTACTAAGTATAGCTGCAAGTACGTCCCACTGACATTAGTGGAACTTATTTCCAGATGAATGTAACTATCTCACTAGCCTTTGCTGTTTATTTTCATCAAGGCTATGTTTCATTTGGTGCAGGGAGAGCTACGTGAACTCAGAATCCACAGATGTCTTGGGAATTTTGGTGTTATCACTCATTTTTTTTACAGACTAGAACCCTGTTCACAAGTTACAGTAGATGTACACACGATCAATGCATAGTGCACACTTGATTTTTCTTTACACATACATTGAATAATTCTCATGTTACGTTCCACATGTTTATATCTCAAGACGTGATTTAAACCCCACATTTATCTAGGTACTGGTCCTCAACTTCATTTGTAAAATGCACATATGTTGGCTGTCTCTTATAAACAGATGTACACGCACATACATGTAAGATGTACAGGCATTAACTGTAACATGTAATCAGGGCTTTAGTTATAAAATTACACAGGAGTCAAGTAGCACCTTAAAGAGTAACAAAATGTTTCTTAGCATTAGCTTTTGTGAATCAGAGCTCACTTCTTCAGATGCATGAAGTGTAAAACCATCAGATCTAATTTTATATAAAGCAAGTGAGGGCAGAGTTACAGGGGAAGGCCTCCTATTGAGGGAATAATCTGTTCATACAAACCGAGTGTGAAATACTAAGAACATAAGAGAAGCCATGTTGGATCAAGCCAGTGGCCCATCCAGTCTAACACTCTCTGTCACCCATTAGCCAAAACCCAGCTATCATCTGGAGGTCCACCAGTGGGGCCAGAACTCCAGAAGTGCTCCCACTGTTGCCCACCAAGCACAAAAAATACAGAACATCACTGCCCCAGATATAGTGTTCCATCTATACCTTGTGGCTAACAGCCACTGATGGACCTTTTCTCCATATCTCTATCCAGTCTCCTCTTGAAGCTGTCTAAGCTTATAGCTACCACCACTTCCTGCAGCAGTGAATTCCATGTGTTAATTACTCTTTGGGTAATTGCCAATTGCACCACCTCAAAGAAGAAAATGCTGTACCGTTGCATCCACGCTTCAGAGGAGACTCAGAGGGTCTCAATGAATTACTCTCAACATTCCACAATTAAGCAGGATACATCTGCCCATCAGTCTCCAATTTTGATAGATTTATTTCCTTCATTATATTTCCCCCAAGAATTAAACCCAAACAAATGGTGACCATATAAAGTAAGGCCCCGGTCACATGGGCCGGAAAACACGGGGAGGAGGCGTGGCTATTTGCAGCGCTGCAATTAGCCGCGCGATAACACGATCAGATGTGTCGGCGGCAAGCCACAGTTCAGCGTGGCTATTTGCGGAGCTGCAATTAGCCGTGCAATAACACAATCAGATGTGTCGGCGGCAAGCCACAGTTCCGGCCCTCGGCGTGTGTGCGGCAACGAAGACGGACGGAAGGAAAAGCCGCGCCGGCGCAATCACACCAAGGGAGTCCGAAGGCAGCCTGTGGCAAATAGTTTGCTACTACCTTCGAGGAGGTATTTTTTTATCACGCATTTCGGCGGCATGCCACGGGTTGGCCACTGCCAGATGTTGTGGTGTGATTGTGCCCGGAAAATCCGCCATCCAATCATGGCTCTCCCGCGGGGCCTTTATCTGTTCTCCCAGTTTGGTCCTTGCATCTGTTTAACATCTTTATTATGTTGTATACTAACTTGCTGCTCACTTTCTACCTATATGTATGGACCGGTAACTTCCATTTAAATGTATCTGAAGAAGTGTGCATGCACACACAAGCTTATACCTTGAATAAAACTTTCTTGGTCTTAAGGGTGCCACTGGTTATCCACAAGTTATTTGAGTTCTTTCAGAACTCTTGGATGTAAACCACATGGGCCTGGTGATTTGTCAGTTTTGAATTTGTTCACCAGTCCTAACTAACAACAGCAGAGCAGAGTATACATCAAGTCTAAGGCAGGATGAAGTGAGATAATGGAACCAATTAGCATTTGTAACAGTGGAGTATGTGAAATGTTAGCTCCTATACTGAGAAGGCGTCCAAGGTCCCTGTTATGCAGGGATGGGGTGGGTACATTGTTTCAAATGTGTTAATGAACTGTAATTCAGCACTTTTGCATTGGATCCTGGCTTTTGCAGGAGAATGGTAACTTTAAGGTAAGCAGTAATATGTCCTGGAAGCTTAAGAACATAAGAACATAAGAGAAGCCAATGTTGGATCAGGCAAGTGGCCCATCTAGTCCAACACTCTGCCACACAGTGGCCAAAAATACCAGGTATACCAAGCTTAAAATGTTCTCCCATTGATTTTGGAACATTACAATTTTAAAATCAGATCTGTGTCCATGTATTTCTTTTGCATAGGGAACTGTCCTGTTTGTTCAACAAAGAGAATAGAAGGTCATTGTTGACACGATAGCATATTAAATTAGGGGATGAACAAGTGGATTAGCTCAACATGGTATGCTTATATTACTGGGTGCAGTAATAATACGGCCTGAGTATATGTGGGAACAAAATTGATGTATAGGTTTGTTGGAGGTAGGGATGGATTGGACATTAGGGTAACTGGGATTTCCCTGTGGGCTGATGGCCTGCCCTCCTACCTGGCCCAGACAAATCCAGTGACAAGAAGAGTGGTGCCTAGATAAGCCCCATGTGGAGTGGGGCTGGCTGGCTCTTTCTCCTTCCCTCCTGGGGTGGGGGAGGCTGGGATGGGGCCCCTTCCAGTCTACTCCTGCCTGGAAGGTTTGATTCCTGGATTTGTGACTCTGCTAGATGATCCTTTTCACATGGGGGGGGGCTGACTGTAGGCGAGGCAAAGTCTGTCACCCAAGTTTGTGAGAGGGAAATGTCATTATCCAAGATGGGTTGTAAATTACTAACTATGCATTGGACTGGTTTGAGCTGCAAGCTATAGGTGACAACCAGCTAAGTTCTATTGTTATCTGGGCCTGTCTTGCAGGATTGTGCCTCTGGGTACCAGCCTGGTTTTGTTTGATCTGTTTCTTTACTTCACTAGATGGGTATTAGGCATGCCTATTGTAAATCCTCAATTTAGAGTTCCTGCCTGAGGGACTCAGTGCTGCCCCCCTGTGCTTTAATGTTGCCAGGATTATTGGCACTCAGGATTAAAGAAGTTTAGATGTGCAGATACATAGGTATGACAAAGGCTGCATCAATAAATGCTTCTTTGGTACAGAATAGTAATGCTCTGTGCAAGCAGGTCTTGCTTCTTTGACAGCAATTATAGGATTAGATCAATACAAAGGCATCACAAATCCATTAAACGAACATCATGTAGATTCCAGTTGACACAGACAAATTGCAGGGTGTCCTCTTCTAGAGATGAAGTAGCTCCATCTGGTGTGCACCATATACAAAAACATCCGGAGGAAAAACACCTTAACGAGACGAGACATGTGAAGAAAACCGCATATGGCCTTAAATCATAATCTTGAACCGCTTCGCATAAATTTCTTATCTAATTCCAAATTTGGCCTCAGTGTAAGGATCAAAAAATCATTCAGTCCCCACCTTCTTATCAAGATCCAGGCAAACGAGAACTTAATTCGCGGACAGTGTGGAAAGACCTCCGAAACTTCAGCAAATTGTTGCCTCTTCATCCTCTCCCCCCCTCCCCTTTCAACTAAATGTTGACGTGGCTGAACCCCATTCTTACCCACGCATGCCCGTCTCTCTTTCGCCACTCTAACACTTAAAGCGGAGATGCAGGAAATAAGGGGGTGTGGTCTAGCTAGGCTTTTTCCTGTTGTGGCCGGAAGTTTTTCGTGCCAGGTGCTTCGCTTGCCAGCTAACAGCTTCCTCGACTTACAACAGGGAAGGGGAGGGTGGCGAGCATACGGTCAACCCCGTTCAAAGAACTGAGAAGATAGTTGCTGCTGAAATTCTGGAGGATATCGGGGCTGACTGCAGGAGGTGTGTTGCTTAAGCATGGGGGATGTTGAGAGTTGGGGAGAAGGTGCCTGTTAGGATAAATACGGATGAACAAGGGGTTAGGGAACACGTGCAGTGGGGTGTGTATGCAGGGAATCTCGTTAATGAGGCCTGACAAGCATTGCACAAAGACTTGCATGAGAACACGGAGAGGCTGTAGGAGGCATGCCTCAGGACGACAGCTGCCAATAAACTGCATATGAGGGAATTATCCTGGTGCCAGTGTGTATGTTTTAAAAGACCGGCGTGGGGCCCTGACGTTGCAGCCTGTCAGTGGCTTGGGAGAAGAGCGGATCTAGAGCGCTGAACTCCAAAACCCAATTCTTGACTGTGTCCTGGGTGGCTAACCGCCTCTTATATCAGGGGCAATTACATGACCTCTGCGTCCACAAACCTTGAGAATTTCAGAGTTATGCCCTTCTCATCCTGACTCTTTGGTGCCACCCCCTGGTTTGGTTGTTGCAATCTAGCACCTCTGTACCTTTGCATGGGCTGTATAGTGCCGGTAGAACTTGTGTCTGTCATTACAGGTTGAACAGATGATCAGTGAAAAAGCAGGTGGGAGTGGTTTCACATTCTTTTCACTGAGTCTTGCTATGGACAGCACTTGGCTTTATCCTTTAGTGGTGCTTGGGAGCTGCTTCATTCTGTTGCCCACATTTGCCTGGCAGCCTTCACCGCAAACTCAAGCATATGTAGCATAATTTCTTACTCTGCACATGCACACCATATGTAGCATAATTTCCTACTCTACGCACACATCCAGATTCTTCCTCATGGCACATCTATGCTTCCTACAGCTGTATACATTCATAAATATATCTATCCATGAGTATGTGTTGCTGGTATGTTGATTGGTTGCTCTCATCTTGTGCTTTAAAGGGTCGCTTGTGGCATCACTGTGATGATCCCACCTGTGCCATCTTGTGACAGTTAGTCAATTTAAAATCCAATAAATAATATGATAATTTTTCTTTCAAAAGTACATTCTTTAGGTATGTGCCATACAAATGTGCTCTTGTACATCTTAACTATCCTTTTAGGGCACTCTTTTTGTAGCAGGAACTCCTTTGCATATTAGGCCACACCCCCTAATGTAGCCAATCCTCCAACTGCTTACAGAGCTCTTCTTACAGGAGCTACTGTAAGCTCTTGGAGGATTGGCTACATTAGGGGTGTGTCGCTTAATATGCAAATGAGTACCTGCTACAAAAAGAGCCCTTACTTAACAACTGCCAAAAATAAAAGGGTTATTTCTCCCTGCCCTAAATACCCTGCAATTTCAATAGCTTTCCCATCTATTTTTTTTTTTACAAGCTCTTTCTCCTCTTTGGGACTGGGGTATAAAACCTCTCCCGGTGAGTTAAAAAGAAAGCAGCAAAAAGGATTCCTCAACAGCCAGGGTATCCATATCTCTCTTCGGTTTCAAGGATTGAGGGACAGCTCTACTGGCTCTAGATAGGCCTAATATAAATAAAGTGTCAGGAGAGAAAAGTGCTGTTATTGGTCATGTCTTGGAAGTATTTCTGTATTTTTAAAAGTAGCCTTAATTTTCAAAATTAAAAATACTCCAGGTGAAGTGTGTATATATATATATAAGGAATATTATGGTGAATATGAATGGTTACCATTTATTCTACTTGTTTAGGTCAAAATGGGATTCATCTTTTCAAAGTCAATGAATGAAAATATGAAGAGTCAACAGGAATTCATGCTGATGAACTCTAGACTCCAGGTTGGTTCTCTAAAGAATGTAACAATGTGATTGATTTCGGTTTTCACTGATAGAACCTGAGAAATTAATTGACTCTTTTTGCTTAATAGTTTGAGAAAGTATATTGACTAGATTTCTGTCTCATCCTAGGCCTCAGCATAAGCATCTTGTACTGAACACAATGAAGTCTATTAAAATTCTTATTAACTATGTGTGGAGGTATTAGTTACACATCTAGAGTAGATATAGCTATATGTACATAAACTACATAGCCAGTATATACATATGCATAAGCACAGTTTGTAAGTGCTTACAAGATTCTGTTAGTGATGTTGTTCTAAACTTTGTTTCTTCAAGCTGGGTATATATTGGGGAGGGGGAGGCATTTACATCTCTGTTCCCTTGAGTCCCATCTCTGTCCAAAGTAGAATTTCAGATTTGTCAGCTGAAAGTGTTCTAGAAATAATGGTTACACGTAGCAGATATTTTCCAGTTGTAGGACAGGTGCTAATCACATTTGGGGCACCCTGGTGATCTAATGTAATGATTTTCATTTTTCTTTCCCCCCCTTTTTAAAAAATAAGTCTCTAGCCCTTTTGGTTGCAGAGTTATAGTGATAAATGTGCATAAACATTCTTCTTATGACTCTATAACAAAAAGATCTAGAGACAATTAAAAAACCCTGTGAACTAATACATTGTTGCAATATCCTGTTATAGCACAATAATAAGAGTATAAAAAGAGACCTGCTGGATCAGACCAAAGGTTCATGTAGTCTAGCATCCAGTTTGGGTTGACCCTTTCATTGAGTTATAGAAATACAACCCCAAGATCTTTTTCCCTCTCAGTCTCAGCAAGTTCAGACCCCATTAGCCTGTACTTGAAGCTGGGATTTTTTGTCCCAATGTGCATCACCTTACATTTACCAACACTGAACTTCATCTGCCACATTGTTGCCCATTCACCCAGTTTGTGAAGGTCCTCTTGGAGCTCTTTACAGTCAGCCTTGGTTTCCGCCATCCTGAATCACTACACTACACTATTCACCCCTAATTCCAGATCATTTATGAATAAATTAAATAGTACTGGCCCCAATACCAATGCTTGTGGGACCCCACTGCTTACGTACCTCCATTATGAGAACTGTCCATTTATTCCTACTCTTTGCTTCCTGTAATTCAATTTTTAATCTATAAGAGAACCAGTCCTCTTATCCCATGACTTGTAAATTTACTCATGAGTCTTTGGTGAGGTACTTTGTCAAAAGCCTTTTGAAAGTCCAGCTGCTTCACTGGCTGGTTTAAATGAAAATTTAAAAAACAGAGCTTTCCTCTGTATGCTGCTAGAAATCTTTTCATTGACCATATATAAGGATGAATAAAATTCACAGTTTATCCTTTAGAGCAGCTAATCTGTTATACAAAATGACACAGAATAGCTCTACTTCAACCCCTCCCCCCCATGTCTACCAACAACTGTTCTGAACGTATCTCACACTTTTTTTCTATGTGGTGGTGTTCATTACGAGGAATCTGTAGGACAAGTTTAAGTTTGTCTGCCCCTCATAATATACTTCACAAAACATGGGCAGGATCTTTGTGCCATTTTCCAGCCAGCATGTACATTTTCTTTCAACACTGAGGATGGAGAAAAGTGTAAGGTTCCAAGTCTGAATTGCCTCTTGTGTGGGGATGGCTCTCATAGAGACAAGAAAGGTTGTAAAGGAATGACTCAACACTTTAAATGTTGCGCTTACTTCTAAAATAATTTTGAGATTTTATTACACTGTGTCCTCCCCTCCTTCTTTCAAGGAGCTCATAGCCCCAAGCCTGTAATAAGCCTTGTTGAGTCAAGCGGAGCGATAGTGATTTGTCCAAGGTCCTTCAGAGCTTCAGAGCTAAGCTGGGGTTTGATGCTTCCCAAGACTGTTAAGAGGCTTTTCAAAAACGCTCTCAGCACCCTGGAGGAAGGATGGGAAACATGCACAATAAGTTATTTGATCCTGACCTGTAGTGGCTTTCTGCCCAGAGTTGTCAGTGTCCTGAAGGGGGGGTAACATTGAATGGACACAATGGCAGAGGTGAATCATCTTCCCCGGGCATTGCTTCCTTCAGTGTTGCAGCCTCTGGAGGTTATTTTTAGTTTAAAATGCCATGGAAAGAGGGCAGCCGTGTTGCTCTGCAGTAGAAGAGCTACATTCGAGTCCAACAGCATCTTAGAGACCAACAAGATTTTCAGGGTCTAGACTTTTTAGAGTCAAAACTCCCTTTGTCAGATGAAGGTCTGAGGAAGGGAGCTTTGACTCTCAAAAGCTTAAACCCCCAAAATCTGGTTGGACTCTGTATATGTGCTTACGTTCCAGGTTTAGCTTAGGCCCAAGTTATAAGATGATTGCTGCTAAATGCTTGATGTCAGAGGGTTTGCCCCCTGAGCTCCATGCAGGAATGGCATTGCTCTACAACAAACTGTGATGCAGAGCCTAAAATGTCAGTGTCCGGAGCTTGAAATCAGTGTGGAAAGTAAGAGAACTAATGAGACACATGAAGGGAATTTGACCATAGCAACACTATTAGAGATTTTAGGAGGTGGTAAATTATTTCATACAGGGTCAGGGAGGGAGGGAGAGCTACTGTAAGAACTGACTGTTGAGCTAGTTGGAAGTTATTAGGCACTATAGCAGTGCAGATAAAAACAGGGAAGAAAGCTTAGTCCTTGAACAATGTTTGCAGGTCTGCAGTGCTTGCAAGATGCATAATAGTCTGTTACATACTATGGGCAAGGCTGGTCAGTGATAATGAGCCTGGTAGTCTACAATGTATGTTTTTTTGGCAAGCCTGCATTGTTCAGGAGTCAGGGCTCGTCTGTAAAAGTGAGCTAGGTTGCCATACCAGCCTGGTGAGACAAAGCTTTCCCTGCACTTGTAGTATGAAAAATAGTGTTTTGGTACTCAAGAGGTTGTTTGTAACAGGTTTGCATCACAATTAAGTATCAAATAGAATAAAAGCTTGGTGGTGAAGTAAAAAAAAAGTATGGTCAAAGTCCTGGAGCTCAGAGGATGGTCAAGGGCAAGTCACCAACCCCTAGCTCAATTTCTCATGCTAGCATATTGTAAGGATCAAGATGGCATATGTCCCTGCAGATGGTTACGTGCCTTGAAGGAAGGGAGGTGGTAGCACTACTCTTAGAATGTAAGACCTGGATGGCCCAGGCTGGCCAAGCAGCACTGCCTGCCCTCCTCTTCATCTTCTTGTTTTCCAGACAACCCACTGCAATCCAAATATCTGAGGTTAGGATTTAGGGAGAGGCCACGGATCAGTGGTAGAGCATAGACTTGGCATGTAGAAGGTCCCAAGTTCAATCCCCAGTATCTTGGTCAGAACAAGCTGTCTCATTTTAAAGGGGTCCTTTACGAAGTTAACTTCAACTGACTTACATTACTCCTCAGGAGACACTTATTATGAGCAAATTACACTAAAAATAACAATATTATTTAGCCCCTCTCAAAAACAAGTCTGTAGACTCTAAAATAAACAAGAGGCTAATTCCTGAATTATTCCTCTATTCATATTTGCAATTCTGACTGTCCAGTGGCTGTTGCAGTTTCAAAGCATGCACTATGAAGGTGATGGACTGAACCAGACCATTGATCCATCTGTTCCAGTACTGTCTATTTTGGTGGGCAGTAGAGGTGCCAATCAGAGGTGTTTCACTAGGCTACTATCTGAAATTATGTTTTTTAACCAAAAATGCCAGGAATTGAATCTAGGATCTTGTACTTGAGATCTAGGATCTTGTACTTGGATCCCCAAGCATCGAGAATAAATCCACGTTTTGAAGAAAAGCAAAATTTATTTCAAAGCTTTGGAAAGACACTCAAACACGTTCTTTGTTAGAACTGACTACAAACGGTTAGGGCAAACAAGATAAAGGGGTTTGAACCAGGTACAGGACCAATGGGTCACTTTCCCGCTGGCGGGTGAAAGGAAACGGTTGCGCGCTCATTCCCTGAGAACCAGGCTATCTCCAGACATAATACAGGTGCAGTTCCCAGGCTCTAAAAGCAACAAGCTGGCAGTTAAGCTTACTCCCCCAATACATCCTCCAGTTGTTTGGCTTAGGCATTACAGCAGAGTAAAATACAGGCGCACAGGCGGGGGGGGTAGCAACTGTACAGAGATACAACTAACGCAGAACACCATGGCAGCTCGCGAGAAGCAACCACTCTAGCACTGAACTGCGGCCTCTGCCTTAAAATAGTTGTGCTCTTTAATTTAGTGTTCTGAAATAATGAGTAGTCACCATAATTGGTTTTAATATGACACTCCCACTTCTTCCAATAATTTTATTGCAAGCCACCTATTTAGGTAAAGGCCTGCCCTTTGTTCATCAACTATTTGCACTATTATTCATTTTGATAATATTCTTGGTAACACTTCATGGAAGTTTGATATTTTGAATAGAATTAAGTATGTGGGGGATGAGGTATCAGGACAAAGACTTCCATTCTGAGGGGGAAAAGCCTTATGCATTATTTTTATTCTTCTTGACAAAGTCAGTAAAAAAAATACAATTGGTTGTCTATGGCATGTGGTTTCCAGAAAGTACCATGATATCGTAGCTGAAATGGGAAAAATATGATCCTACATCTAGCAGTAGTGCTAGGAAGTTCCACTTTACACATCCGTCCTAAAACTTATGTGGAATTAAGCCATATTGATTTCAGTTGGATTGCTGCCATATAGTATAAGTTGAAGGTGCTAAGACACCCTCCCCTTCAGAATGAGAAAGGAACATTGGACTTCCTCTGAGGAAGGGGGGGCATTTTACCCCACCCTGTATTCGAAAAAGACAGGAAGATAAATAACAACATAAGGAGAATTTTTTTTGCCACCAAATCATGGCTGACTTATGGTGACTCCATAGAATTTTCAAGGCAAGAGATATTCAGAGGTGGTTTGCCATTGCCTGGCTCCGCATCATGACCCTTTTATTCCTTGGAGGTCTCCCCTCCAAATACTAGC